TATTATTGTGAAAAATTTATTAAATTACCGCTAGAAGAAAAAATAAAGAAAAAAATCTTATTTTTGCCTTAATTGTTTAAGATCCGCGTCTCATCTAAATTATATACTTCGAGTTCTTGCCGCAAATTCAGTAAAAAGCACAACATGTTGCTTCATGTTTCTACTTCCCATAACTTAAAACAACTTTCAATTTCAGCAGTACATTCTACACAATCTAGCAGTTTACTTTTTGTCTCCACTCAATGTGTTTCAAGTCTCTTTTCAAGTATATTGCTATCTACAACAATTGTTCATGTTCATGATGCAAATAAGCTAGCCCACTCATGCCGCATTGCTCGATAATGATCAGAAATGAATTTTGTGACTCAGGAATTTGTTAAGCTTGAAACTTGAGGAAAAATCATTTGCTGTCTCAGTAGCTGGAAAGAATAGTTCACACAAATAAAGTTGTTAGCATAAACATTAAGTTGCGTTTCAATAATTATCAAGAGAGCATAGAATGCGAATAATATTGCTCAAAATTACTCAACGTTTGCCAAAGCAATTTATTCCCGTCCAAAATGTAACAATACCAAAAAATATAAAGTTGGCTAATCCCAACTTCCATATACCTGTTCCATATGCCAGTTTTGAAATATTGATTGGCGCGGAAATATTTTGAAAAACATTTTGTGCAAGTCAAATTAGGCATTTCAAAACTTAGGTGTCAAAATGATGCTCTGTTGAGAATCATTCTTTCTGTTAACATTCAAGACAACAGATTAATATTCAATCTGTTAGAAGAGTCGGCGCAGATTCTGGATTCGTCATATTCGATCATATTATCCTGTCGTAATCAGATGTAGAGCGACTTTATTGCTCGCCGCTTGCTGATGTGTGGTTAGTCGCGAGTCGAAAATATGATAATGTCAACTCTTCAGTCTTTTTAAATTTGATCCATCAGTTTATTATTCGAAAGATGACCAGTTTTAACAGTCTTGCATGGGGAAAATGATTTTGCTAAAGAATTTAAAACTTGATTAGATATAGATTCGAAAATAAATCCCGTTGGATCATCAAAATAATTTTGTAGGACGTTCAAGCTGATTGCTAGATTGCAAGATTGCTAGATTGCTAGATTGCAATTCAAGAGTAATGAACAAGCAAAATTTTTTATTTGTTCATTACTCTTGAAAATAAAAATCAAATGAAATTAGATTCCTAAGTCTATAATATATTCAGCAGAAGTATCCTCTCCATATGAGTACGAAATAAAAATATTACATGAGGTAAAATGATTAAATTTAATGATTAAATCAATAATTAAAATTCTGGAAGTAAATTTAAATTTAAACGAATTAATTTTTTTAAGTTATTTTTAATTTTTAAAGCGATAATTAGAGTGTTACGTTTAACCATTAAAGTAATTTAATTAGAATATATTAATTATTTTCTCTTTATTTATTTATTTATAATTATTTATAATTAATCCTAGTAGAGAGATTGTTATTTTTGATTACCGTGTGGTCATACTAGGGTTTGCGAAAGCCTGTAACTTTGTCACGTTAAATCTCTGGATTGAATACGTATTTTTTAGCTCAAAAACTGTGAAACTTATACCTCGAAATCAAAGACAGAATAAATATTAATTAAATAAATAATATTTTATTTTCAATTAATTACAATGCTTCAAAGAA